GGTAGGTTATGTTGTTGGTCATTTAAGATCTTGCAGTAGGCCATAAACAGCTCTGATAACCTCTAGCCTGCATTACTGTAAATTGTGGGCCTGCCTTTGAAAATGGTTCATAAGCTCCAGTCAGTACAGAATGCAACAGTCAAGATGTGAACATACAACACCAGTTCTGGCTTGTCTGCGTTGGCCTACCATTAGTTTCCAGACTTATTTCTGGTTTTGACATTTAAAGCCTTATGTGGGTCAGGACCCCAATACCTAAAGGATCACCCTCTTCCCATACGAACCTACCCAGAAGTACAGAGAGTGGTGAGCAGAGAATAGTCCTTTTCCATAATACCGCAACATCTTTGGAATGTCGCAGGCCTAGCACCAACTTTACTTACATTTCAGTGGTAGTTATAAATGCTTTTAGTTAACCGGACTTAGGTGCAGCTTGAATGATACTGTTGTTACAGTTACTCAATCCAGGTTTTAGTGTGCATTTTTAATAATATTATACTGTATCCTGTTTTAATATGACTTCATTTTTAAATTTTTACTGTATTATATATATCATAAATTGCTTTGAGGCTTTTTAGCATAAAGCATTATGTAAGTAATCAATTAGAGCAATCAAATCAGAATGACAATATTTCCTATGAAGCACAACTGAACATGAATAATTGTAATTATTTGCAGATTATGTGTAACACATTTATTTGAAAGTCTGTATAGTCTTTCCAGTTTATACGTATATAGTCTCACACACACACACACACACACTCACTTTAAATCAAATCCAACATGAATTGGAGATTTATCAGAATTACTACATCAATAGTCTAAAGTTCTATGAAAGCTATAAAGTCCAAGTTTCCTTTGTTTCTTTGGCTATATATGTTTGCATTTAAATATTTTCTGGTGTTCAATTGTCAAAACCTGTGAGAAAGAGATATGGATAGCACTGTGACAGTGGCGATGCTTATTTCATTAAGATCCCATGATCAACAGCAATGCTGTAATTCACAGTGGTGGTTTCATATATCCTTTTCTGTAAGTGAATGATAGGTTGAAGATTTTGCTATAAAGCTGTCAGACAGCAAGTTTTTCAATAAAAGTATTTTTATTACTATATTGCTCTGGATTGAGACACAGCCTAAAATGTTTTGCAGTGTACTCGAGCCAAAGCTCTTTTTAGCTAGTAATATATTGCTAGGTCTATTTGGATGAAAACTACAGAGTTTTGTGTAATAAGTTATTAAAGTAGGTATGGGATGTGGCCCAGCTAGTGATCACCTGCTAGTTCACATAAGCATAAACATAATTAACCAAATATACACTAACACTGGATGGTATTCAACTAAATTTTACTCACAGCAGGTCTAATGAAATTAATGGACCCAACTAAATCATGTTCATTAATTTCAATGGATCTAATCAAAGTAAACCTTTGTTGAATACCACCCAATGAACTCCATAAATATGGAGCAATAAGAGAAAAGCACAAAGATGTAAAACAAAAGAATTTGTACATATTTAACAAGCAACAAAGATTCAGAAGAATGCAAAGGCTCAAAAGGTGAGTCTACAGAATTGAAAAATGGAAAAATAAATTGGTGTTAGAGAATGGATATATTTAAAGCAAATACTCTAGTTTTAAAGGCACTGCAAAACCGAAAAGGTTAACAAATGCAAATAAATCAAGAGCAGAAAATCATAGTACAGGAGCCCCCGTCCCTGCCCACTTATGTGTGACTGACTTGCCTGCAACTGCGTATGTATGTAGTGCTGGGACATAATTAAATTCAAACCCAGAAATGGTGGGAGAAAGCTGGACAATCCTTGTGGGTCATGAGGAGACCCTCCCCGGAGCCTGAAGAGGACATCAATGAGGGCGGAGGAAGCCCCAAAGAGATCAGAGGCACAGTGTGGCTTTGTTTATGCTGCTCAGCCTCCTCAGCTAACAGCTGGTGTGTTCTGTAGCACAGCAGCCAGTTTCCTGTATGTCCTCCAGCCTCCTGCTGGTCTCAGAGCTTCAATTCTAGTTGAGTATTTTTGGATACAGTATTTTTGGTATGAATTGAAGAGAGACACAGAGGGTGTTGAAGGAGTGTTTAGAGGGTGCTCCCCACTTTACACAACTTCACATATGTGCAGGGGTCTTATGGGAAACCATAACTGAAAGAAATTACACAGCTTATGCTTTTCGCAAATATGTGCAATGGTCTAGCTAAACAGACCTTATCAAAAAGAGTAGAAGATCATATCAGTTCGCTAAGATTTATTTTGTACATTAGAACTTTGTGACTGAGATCAACCACTCTCATATAGGGAATGCAGTTCTGGTGAATAATGTGTATTTATTTAATTTGTTTTCCATGTTTAATAAATAGTTCCAGTGACAACCTTTGCAACATATTAAGAAAAATAACCCACAAATCTAAATTATAGTATCATTTAGATAAATGTAGTAGCCTTTTCCTTTAAAAATGTCACACTCACATAGTTATCATATGATTTCATTATGCTTCTCAAGTAGACTGATTACTCTTGTGAGTGCTGATTTGAAATCAATGCATGGCAAAGAATAATAGCTAACTCCAGAAGAACTTTCATCAGCTAAGGCCTCCAACAACCACATACTTGGAGAATATTTCATTAAATTTGAGTGGCAGAAAGTTACAGCAGCATGGATTTTCAATTCTAAATAAAATGCAGCCATTAAATTCTTTTGAAAACACACCCTTTTTGATGATAGTATATTAACTACAAGAAAATCAACAAAATAGCATAACAATTTCTATTTAATATGCTCTTTTAAATAAGTTGCATAATTTTCAGTGCTGTAATAGCACCAACGCATAGAACTAAGAACTTAGTTGAGAGACCCACAGATGTGTGAGAAGTTTCCTAGTCTTAAAAAAGAAAGAAAGAAAATGCAGCGAAGGTGGAGCTGTGTATATGACTGAACAGAGGCCAATGACTTCTCCTATGTTAGTTTGTTCATCAAAATGCTCCACCCACAAACCTCCTTTCTGTCCTCTGGTAAAAAAAATATGGAGACCTTCTTACTTCACGGACAGTAAAGCTGTTGGGAGTGATTTTGGTCAGAAAAGCAGCCCAAAGGGAAAGGAATCAAAGCAGCTTCCAGAACTATTGAATGACAAGTGAATTCTTATGAATCTCTCAGCAGCTAGCAGCTGTAGTCTGGAATCAAGCTGTGTTGACTTCAAACTACAGGTGCAGCATGCTCAGTCATATTAATACAGATAGCAGAAGCCAGCACCGATTACCTATTCAGAGAGCCATATATAATTATAGATTTGGAAGGTACCCCAAGTGTCATTTAGTCAAACCCCCTGCAATGCAGAATCCTGCCCACAGCCATCCCTGGGTGGGCTTAAACCACCAACCTTCTTTAAGGTTAACAACTTGATGTAGTTATGGCAAGGATAAGAAAGGTTTGGCATGTGGAAGAGTATTCAGTAATACTAGAATGCATAATTGCAATATACTTTATTAAACATGGGTATAGGGAGTCACAGACACATATGATATATAAACATCCAGAGTTAGGCAGATTTTGCCCCCAAAATCCTCTCCTGGGGTAAGAGGACTTTCAGAAGATACCTGGACTGTGGTATGGGGCCCTTGCTGAAATTTAGGTAAAATGACTTGCGTGAGTGGATGTCTGCATGCACAAGCTGCCTTTGCGTGGCTATTCCCTCCCCCACCACATGTGGATAAATGAAGACACAGGACACCAGAATTTAGGTTAATTGGGCGAAAATGGCCACAACTTTATTGATTACAGGCAAGAGAGGTATTGGCTTTAGGCATTGGCCCTACCAGACTAACCGGTCTAACCGGTGAGGGTTAATCACCAACAGGGGGAGCCACCCGAGATGCATATCCCTAGGCGCTCCCCGAGGGGTTACCGCTCGGGGGCGCGCTTTAGGCCCTAGCCTCCGTAGGTTTCGGACGAGGCGACGCCCCTCGGAGTCCTTTAACGAACTACCCTCCAAGCCTTGGGGGGAGGTGATGGCGCTCCTCCCCCCCGATCTCATCTGCATGACAATACCCCTGCCAATGCCTACCGCCAAAACCTGGAGTTGTGACGTTTTGCTACGAGGTAGGCGAAAAAACCAAGTGGCTTCAAATTCCAGCCAATTAGCCAAATGGAAAAACTCCTACCAGGCCCCTTGCGGCGACCAGTCGAAACCCATAGCAAAGTCAAGGGCAAACCTAAAGGGCGGGAGGGTGGGAAAAACCGCGTGGGAGAAGCCGGAAAAAGGGGCGAGCCGAGGGCTGCCCCGACCTTAAATGGCCCTAGAAGATCCGCCCCCGCCGCCAGCCGATTGGCTGGCAGGGCGTGGGTATGCTAATGAAGGGAATCCCCGGCTCCCGCGAGGCTGGGGCCAGCCTCGCGGGAGTGTGGGCGGGGTCGAGAGCCCGCAACCCCACCCCCTCCTGAATTTCGGTAGTGGCATTGTCTGATTTTCTCCTCTCACTGTAAAGGTAAAGGGACCCCTGACCATTAAGTCCAGTCATGAACGACTCTGGGGTTGCGGTGCTCATCTCGGTTTACTGGCCGAGGGAGCCAGCGTTTGTCCGCAGACAGCTTCCGGGTCATGTGGCCAGCATGTCTAAGCCGCTTCTGGTGAACCAGAGCAGCACACGAAAACGCTGTTTGCCTTCCCACTGGAGCGGTACCTATTTATCTACTTGCACTTTGATGTGCTTTCGAACGGCTAGGTTGGCAGGAGCAGGGACTGAACAATGGGAGCTCACCCCGTCGTGGGGATTCGAACCACCGTCCTTCTGATCAGCAAGCCTAGGTCTTTTCTGAGGATCCACTAATTCCCAGAAGAGGGTTTTCAGGGGTAACGAGTACTGCAGTACAGAAGAAAGGTCACGAAAGCCCTGTTGTGTGAATGGTCTTAAGCTCACTTTAATTTTTTGGATACAGCCTAGTATTCTTACAGACGTAAAATAATAGGCATAGAAAATCCACTACTTACTTCGATCAGTAATGACTGTTCGAGCCTCTTGATTGCTAGTTTTATTTTTCAAATTCTGTGCTGCTGTTATTAACTCTTCCAGCTGAGGGCGCCTTTGTTCCAAGTCTTGTAGTGTTGCCTAAAAGCATAAATATGTATTTATATATATGCCATGTTTATATTCAAAACATATGCATAAAAGCACAAATAAATATTTATAGTTACACCATGTTTATATACATATGCATAACCAGTTTCCTAGAACTAATGGACCACAACAGTGTCATCGACGGTAGTCACTTCTGTGAGTTTTGGTGGCAAACCAATTCACAACCACTAGCAAAACTCAAATCCATGTAAAAATGTGTACTGAATTCTCATTTAAACAAAAAGGCTGCATACTGTAACTCAGACAGCGGTGGTGATTGTGGCCTGGCATAGTTGCTGGGGAATGAGGGGATAGAGGCAATGAGCTCATAGTTGACGCCAGCTTTGGCATTGGCCAGCTGTGGGGGGCTGGTGGGATTGCTCACCAAAATTTAAAATTTGATCAGGCTAATTAGGGCCTGGTGGGTGATACTCTGGTGATGGACCTGGCAGGGCCAGAATTCTGTGGGGTCTGCCAGCCGGGCATAAAAGCCAGGTGTACTTCCAGCAGACTACATAGTCAGGAAGAAATAATCCCACATGTATGCTGTGGCAGCCTGGAGGTAAGCGGGCTCATGTATGGCCTTGCTGTGGAATTATTTGGTTGCCGTATTCGGGGCCAGGGAGAAAATTGCCTGTGGACGTATTGGACCTGTTTGGGAGTTTTGTCTTCCTCACAGCAATTGTCACAACTTTGGGCAGAAGTGGTGAGGCACACTGGAGTTGAAGTGCATCAATCTTGCTTGAAAGAAGGTGAACAGGTCAGTATTTCAGACAGTATCCTGGTTCGGTTGAATGGGTAGATTATTTGCCATCCTGCCATCACCGCTGTCAAAATGAACTTGTATTGGCCTTATGATCTACCCCTGTTGCCTGCAGGCAGTGAGGCTTGGCTGATGAACATTTACTGGGGCCTACGAGACTGCAGATGTGAATAGTTTGGCAGCAAGCCAGCTGGGAGGGGGTGGGCTCATGTATCAGGAAAAGGCATTGAGTTGGATCCTTAGTCTAAAGCTGGGGGGAATGGGGGTGCCGCACCCCCCAAATCCAGGATAAAACTCAGGTACCCCAGGAAGGCCAGCATGACCCGGAAGCTGTACGCCGGCTCCCTCGGCCATAAAGCAAGATGAGCACCGCAACCCCAGAGTTGGTCACGACTGGACCTAATGGTCAGGGGTCCCTTTACCTGTACCTTTACCCCAGGAAGGAGACTAAGGTAGGCCATAGAACATCCCTGAACGGTGTCCTGGTGGTATTTCCGCATTAGATCTGTGTCAATGTGAGGAATCCTTTCACCAGGATCAACACTAATGGAGCTATCAGGCTAGCTGATTCATAGCCTATGCCTATACATAGCCAATGCCTATGCCAAATCTAATTTATATTTGTAATCAACAAAAGTTGTGACTATTTCAATCCCAGGCAGGGTGTCATGTCTCTCTTACAGTATACCAATCCCCTCCCCCAGTAACCACCAGTTTGCAGTGCTGTGGCCCGGAATACCCATATATAAATACAATAGATAATTATAACATATATGTGAGTGTCAGTGTCCTGACTTACTGAGCAAAATGTTCTGAGATTAAGCCAATTCCACAGAACAAGGAAGGATACACAACAGCCCAGTACCAAGTACGTTAGCAAAATGGCCAATCACTTGAAACCAAAACTTTGGTGAGCACTAAGCATAGCAGCAAAGCAATCAGTTCTTAAATGAGAATGTGATGAAAAACAGCTGGGCACAATGCACAATAAAAATTAGCCATGATGATGGCCAAATTCAGTCAGGTTAGAGCTGTCAAATTCTGTGTAAAGGTTTGTTCACAATGGATTCCTTCTCTATCGCTCCTAAGAATTAGAAGAGAAGGATAAGCTGATTGGTTTTATGGACTCATTACTAAAGTATCTAACAGGGGCATTGCTTTCCCCCCTTAAAATAGATGCTATGGTGTTCAAATATTGATTTCTTTACAACTATAGAGTATACTAGAAATAGTAGAGTTATCATCATTGTTTATTCAAACACTGTTAGAGTAGAAGTTGTACCCAATCTTTAAAATTCATTTTGAATGAATATATTTCCTTTCCTTCCTTCTTTCTTTTGTCCTGGTCACTGTCACTTTCATAACCTTTGCATTCAAGTAAACTAGTTTTCCCAAATGCCAGGTGAAATGATATGAACCAACAGCAAACATTTTTTTTAAAATGTAAAACTAATGCCACTGACTTTTAAGACATTTTCCATATTTGTGGTTAGTGACTGTTCAAGGGAAATCTAATTTTCAGGTTCCTAACTTTTATAGATTCTTTACACAAAAGTGTGGTTGAGATATGGAACAAATTGCTTAAGTCAGCAACTGAATGTGAATAATGTGAATCAGCTAAGGAAAAAAGAATGTGAATAATTCCAAAAATAACTGGACTTGTAGATGTGGAATACTGGACTTATCTGAATTGCCTTTAGTTATCTATTGAAATAAAAGACTAAGTGGTTGTGGGCCAATGCAATCTACAAAGTTGTTCTGTAAGCCGACATATAAGCAAAGGATAAACTAGAATTCTATAACGCAGCACAGTTACTTCAGTTAGTCTTCAATTTTCTGTATTCATTTATTTTTTAAAAAATGTATCATCTACAGAAGCCAAAGGTGAGAGGAGCAGCCAACTCCTTGTTTCCCACAGGAGCATCCCTTTCTTTTCCAATGAGGTCCCATCTGATTCAGGCTCTAGGAGCTGACAGGTCCTGACAAAATCTCATTTTACCACTGATGCCATCAGATAAAAACAACATATATCTGTTATTTTGAGAGTAAACTGATGAAGACTGTCTTCCACTCCACTTGGTACTCATCACAGCTGTCTTCAACATTTGGTGCACAAGCGAGGACATCTTTTCCATCATCCCATACCCCACCAGACCTGTAGATCTTTCCAAAGTTTATTCACTTAGACACCACCAAGAGTGAGAGGGCAGGCTCCAGCAGTTCATGAGCCTACTGACTCTCACTTCTACTGTGTAAGTTATTAATAGTGGTCCGTTAGTTTTATCTTACATAACAAATATCTAATTTAAAGGTGCTTGAAGAAAGTACTAAACTGCATTCTAATATAAAATAAAAACTGTTTGGAATGATAACTTATTGAAAATTGTTTAAAGTTGCATCAGTGTACAGAATTTTTCAGCAAGGAAGTAGAGGTTATTAGTATTCTGATATGCTGGCTGATTATGTAAAGCTGGTACATTATATGTATGCATTTGTAAAGACTACAATTAAATCTTTAGATTACATCTAAACAATATAAGGAAATGTAGATATACCACACCTACTACATTGCACCTGCATAACAAAAAAAGTATGGTTAAATTGTTAACTAGATTGTTTGTTTTTGTTTTCTTTGCACTGAGCAAAATGTGTTTGAGAGGAAAGAAACTTCATTTACATATGCAAATTATTTCAGAATTAAATTACAAAATACAGTATTTTACTGATTTCAAGCCATTAAGTTTCTTTTTCATAAGAAACATTTTTTTAGTCGGCACAAAGTTCCATTTCATTAGATACAATTCTCCCTCCAGGAAATCATTATAAATAGAAACTATATCCTTTAACAAAATTGGAAAAAATGGAGCAATTAGTTATCCAGCAGCAGTACTAAACGAATATGGCTCTGTAAAACAAAAATAGTAACAGGAAACACTTTTCCTCTCTAAGCTTCAGTTAATTCTTACAAGGAAAAAAAATAATACTGATTTACAGCTGTATTCACATAACAGCATCTTCAGGCCCTATAAGCTATCTATCTGAAATATCATCTTTCATATTACATAATTCCAAAGCAGCCAAGTTTACTGTCTTCCAATAAAAAGTGGGCACTTGGAAGCCATGCAAGGAAGCAGACTTATTATTCTAATATGACAACCAGGCTGCCTGTAGGTGGTTTTGATGGGGATGTGCATCCAAAGCGTCACTTCAGAGAACAGTTCATTTTTGGAATTCAAATGGGGGTTGATGCTGTGGAACGATGAGATTCTATTAAGCAGAAAGAACCTTGTGGGTGCTTTTACAATGGTAAGTAGATCATGATATTACCTCTGTCTCAGATAGATTGAGAAAGCCCTCTGCTTCTGTGCAAATGTATGTGACAGGCTGCAGAATCAAGAGGCCACCATGTCACATGTTATCACCTCATGGACACTGGCTGGCTGCTGGACTTCTAGATGTGCTGGAGAACTCTTAACCTTATGTAACCAGAAGTTACATGCTTAGTGAAAACTAAGCAGACTGACCGTTTAATGACCTATCTTCTGTCTTGATATTGATGACTGCAGAGAGAAAGAACTGCACAGTTCCTTGATACATAGCATGGCAGCTCCCTGGGTCTTGGTTCAGAGCTTTTGAACTGAAGACATGGCGACGGTAGGGCAAAGAAGGTGCCTTTTCCAGCTGCCTTACAGACTGCATGACCCATGCTGGTCCCACAACATTTATTGGTTGTGGATTGTACCTTCCTAGAGGTACGGTATTATTTTTATTATTTATTAAATAATAGCTACAAAAGAGAGGGCATGTGATAGTACACCTACTGTGGAATGTGCTGACATTATAATCATATTGTGCAGCATGTTGAAATATTTTTTATTTGCTAAGGTGTTTAAGTAGTCATGCATTATAGTTTTAAAGTTCTACTGCTGCCTCTTATTTTGCTAATTTATCATGAATGTTAATGTTTTATTGCTTTGTTTTGTTTTGTTGTATTTGGCATGGCAGATTTATTCATGCCCATTTAACACTGCCTGGGATCTGTTTGGATGAATTGTGGCGTACACATATTTTTAAAATAAATGGGCAGAAATGTGCAACTAGTTTGGAATAACATCTTTGGCATATGTGGTCTGCAGTTATTAGATACGAACTGTTTCCACCACAAACCCTGGGGGTTAATTTCAGAAATTGTCCACCTTTCCACAAAAATACTTCTTAAATGGGCTAG